GACCACAGGCAGTATTTTAGCTTTCAAAAGGGCCCTTGAAGCGACAAAGCTGCTACAATCGCCCTTTGATGTTCCACTCCAAATATTATCATGTGGTTAGACACAATGTATTATTTTATCACTTGGCAAAATGCAATTAATCTGTTTGACGACAAGTGCGGATCAAGAACAATGATCCTGATGAAGTACGTTTTCAGTTTAGATCCTGTCAGCAACAGGGAAAGAAAAGAGCTCCACGTAGGTTGTCAAGGCAGCATGTGATACAGAAATCACCCATGTGTGCGTGACAAGCAGACAGCGTAACAAAATGCCTTTATTAAAACGCGTACAGCATTGGCCATTGAAATTTCCATGATTGTTGAAGACACACAGGTCTCCACCCTTGAGCAGATTTATTTTCACACATGCTGGGTGAGGTGTCTGCAATTCCTCCCCGCCCTGTCATTGTTTGTTCTGCTGTTAAGTGTGAATATGAGCAGAGTCCAGGCAGAAATATAGTCTTGTTTAAGGGCTTCTCCTGCTCCGCTGAGTGCCGTTTGCTGATGTCACACTAACCCAACAGCTTTCCAGACGTCTGTGCTCTGCCGTGTCCATCAGTGGGGTGAGAACCAGACCTTGAGGCTCTGCAGTCTGCCTCAGTCAGAACATTTGGCTGTATGACGTATTAAAAAAGAAAAAAGCATAAAAAGGCATGCATTATTCTCCCTGATTCCAACATGACTTATTCATACATGAATATTGCACCAAAACAAGTTTCTAGATGTCAGTGAAACGCATTGGTGTTAATAGGTTAATGGTCTAATGCATTAAGTCTTTTTCTGTGTTGTGTTAAGTTAAATTGCAAAAGACGTGTGTGACCATGTTCTGTGAAGTCATAGCTGTGTTTTCTTGTACTGGTCTGTCTCTCTAATTATTCCTGTGCTCATTTCTGATTTTTGCACACATACCTTTTGTCTAAATGTGGGCAACCGCTGAACAGCGACTCTTTGATCACCTGGACGCACACCAATGACAATATATGTTAAGATGAATGCAGACTTTCCAATTTGTGCACCATATTGACTTCAAACGGATACACACATTATGAATTCTACCGTCCAGACACTGAGGCATGCAGGGAATGAAATGGAAATCAAAGTTTTGCGGTGTTGCAAAAAAAAAAAAATGGAGACACACTTACAGTCTGCAAAACAAATAATACCTCTATTCCTCTCCCTCACACACACACCTCCCAAATGAATCACCCTCCCAAGTGCTTAGCATCATCAGCATTCCCTGAACCAGCCGTGCACAACTGCATGACATGAGAGTCTCAGGGGTCAAATGAAATGCACACTCTAAGTGCCACTTCATCTTCAAGGCATAACAGCGAGCAGCAGCTCAAGAGCAAACTCAAATAACACCGGATTGCATCTGCCATTGTGCTCCTCTCGCCGGTTGACACGCCTGCATGGTGGCACATAGTGAACCTGGGTCCTTTGGCACTTTTCTGCCGCCACGCATGACTTCTCCTCAAACGGGCTCTCCTCCAGCCCCTACTGTCTGTTTATGTAGACTACCACCAGGGCGGCATGGAATGCACCTCACACACACCTCTGAGACCAGGAGTCTGCCTCAAACTGCTGATATTAGTCGTTTGTGTTTTACTTTTACACGGGAGTAAATGTTTTGATTAAAAAAGCCGTTACTATTTTGCTAGTCACAATGGCTTTGTAGTGGAGGGGTTTGCTGCCGTGCTGATGGATGGATGGCCGCTCCCTGCCTCCAGTGAGCGGTTGAATGAGAGGGGAGCTGTCATCACTCCGCTGCCGACACTGTTGCCTGTAGAGAGGGGAAGACAGAGGGGGGCTGGGGGGGTCAAAGAGAGCAGGAATTGGATGGAGAGCCAGCGACAGACGATGTGTTGAAGTGGGAGAAGATGTCAGGGAAAGGAGCAGGCCTGGAGAATAAGAAGCAGGAACATGTGTGATGGAAGAGAGGAGGTCAGTGTTGGGTGCAGCTCACCTCACACCCCTATCCCAGAAGGCACTGCAGAGGGAGTCTGCATTACGTAAAGGGGGGAGAGCAGGTGGTACTGTGAAGCACGCAAAGCCTCTCTACGACGTCTGTGATCAACTCTCCTGTTGGGCTGTGAGAGTCCACGCTTAAATGCTTCTGTGACTCTGGGGTCTCATGACCAGTTTCACGGCATACAGTAATGGGGAGACTATTACAGCGGTTGTTACGCATTGTGTCAGACGGCCACGTCAGAGGATGACCACATGTTATAAATGTTCAGAACAAAAGGAAGCAGTACCTTTCTCAAGGGCTGGCCAAGGAGTTAATGGTATATATTAAATATAAGATGCACTCTCATTATAAACAGACATCAGTGCTTATAATGACATCAGCCATGTTGGTCTTCCCGGCATATGATTAGTTCTTTTTTTGTCTTACAAAGACAACTGTGAACGATAAAAACACCAGTCTGTGTTGTAACCAGTCTAATTACCGGTCTAATTGGACACCTTGATGTTCAAACAATCTCCATCTGCTTTTGATTTGCTTTCAGATTTAAAAACTTGCATAGTGGGATGAACACTGCTAATGAGTTCACATTAACCTAACACTTGACTTTAACCTATTAATGTTCACATTTAAGATTCTCCGAAAGGCAATTTTAAAAGGTGTGTTGTAACTGCTAGGATGATGTGGCTGCAAGGATGCAAATTATTGGTCTCACAGTGCCTCCCATTGGTGACTGCTGCAAAGTGCATGGGCTGTTGATGCTGTTTTACCCCAAAATGTGTTAAAGTTCATTTTAATTGAACACAGACATTAACCAAGATATTAAATAGTGCACGTAGATGCTTTGTAATGTGTTTTGTTCAAAGTTTTTCTTAGTTTGCCACTATAATCCTTATTGAATTAAAAGTAGTGTGATATAATTGGGTAGTCGGTGATAGTTTGACATTACAGACCATAACAAACCCATGAGACAGGACAACCTAACACGGGAATTCCAGCTAATTCCAGTGAAATAATTCACAGCTCAGCCAGAGTAAGACGTTGTTGGCAAATGTCTAACAGAGTGAGAGAACTGGCATATGTCACTATCTGGAGGGAGCATCTTGTTATAAACCTCAAATGGCACTGAGCAAACAACTTTTTTTCTCTTTAACAGTACATGTAATCAATCGTGCCTTTACCATTATTAGCTTCAGTGTTTAGGGGAGGGGGCTATAAGATAGGGGAGTCATGGGGGGGGGGGAACCTGACACCCTGCAGACAGTAACACACAATCCTTTTTACCTCCTCTGAGAACACCTACAGAATCCATCACAACTTCCAGAACGTTCTGAGCAAAGAGGCTCACACTAAGGCAACCAGTGGGACGGCAGCCGCTACCCACAATACACACCTTTTACAAGCTGATCTGCACTACTGCATTATATGATACTGCTCACACAGTCCATATATGATGATTATACTCAAGTTGGACATTTTTCTTGTGTCACAACAGCTCCTTTTTCAACATCAAAAAAAGGCTTTTTCTTTAAATGTTCCTTTAAATTCATCATGTTACTGTTTGTTTCAATGCGACAAATAAATCATTATAATTAAACCCAGTCAGATCTAAAAATGTAACTAAGTCTGTACATTTTGGAAGTTACAGGTGGAAATAATGAAATGCAGTATTATCACTTTAACATAAAATAAGAAATCAGCTATGATGATGTAATTCACAGAGTCTTTTATTGTAGAAGGTGAACATCAATCTTTAACTTAAAAATAAAACAGCACTGCAATGACTTTTACTCAAAGAATGTTAATCCAATTTTGCTCTTGGGAGGGCAAACAATTGTGTGTGTGTGTGTGTGTGTGTGTGTGTGTGTGTGTGTGTGTGTGTGTGTGTGTGTGTGTGTGTGTGTGTGTGTGTGTGTGTGTGTGTGTGTGGTGTGTGTGTGTGTGTGTGTGTGTGTGTGTGTGTGTGTGTGTGTGTGTGTGTGTGTGTGTGTGTGTGTGTGTGTGTGTGTGTGTGTGTGTGTGTGTGTGTGTGTGTGTGTGTGTGTGTGTGTGTGACTTACAAATTAGGCACACAGAATAAACAAGAGCGCTTATTTGAAAAGGTTCTGTTAAAGCTAGTTATTGCTTGTCGTCAAGTCTCTATCCCCTCGTTTTCTGTCAGCCCTCTGCTTTACACTATCTGATAAATGGTGAGTTTGTTAATGCTCCAATGTGCTGGACCATACAGGACTCATGTCAAGTTGAGTGGCTGAAGCTTTGGCTGTGGAGCAGGTTGTCCAATATTTGTTGAGGTGTTAGTTCAAACCCATGCCGGCCACATGGCAAAGTACTCCTGAGCAAGACACTGATACCCACATTGCTCCCAATGTACACCATGTATGCGTGGGAATAAAACTTAAACTGCCTTGTTGAGAAAAATTGTCTGCCAAATGAATGTAATGTAATGCCGCTGTACTTACAACTTCACTGGAAGACTAGGCACACATTCAAGAAATAATCCATAGGATTTTACATGTAAGATCTTGCTTTCCTGGTTGGAGAAAGTAATACCAGATCTCATATAGCAAACGTAAATCTTTATACATTTGGGACTATATGTAAAGTCTGCATGCCAGTGCCATGGAGTAAAATAAACGTCCACCTGTAATTAAGGTTGAGTCAAACTATTTAATGTCTACGACAAAATGTAAACTGATTGATGGACCAGAATGCAGGTAGGCTACTGACGATCAGGACTGATGTTGGTAAAACATTGAAGTTAAAGTTTTGTTTTTTATTTTGTCTTTTTTCTTTTGCATATCGTTTTCCGGTAGGGAAATCAGTGCACCTTTCTTGAAATGAAGTACCAGGGTTACATAAAGATATAACAGTAAAAGTTGTATTACTGTCAAAATCATTATGCAAGTCTCGATAATCAGATGAGAGGATTCAGGTCTAGCTCCCGGAGTGCGGTGAATCGCTCGCAGATCTCACTGATGGATGATTCCCAGGGATGGTAGTCAAGCGCAGATCGGGAGAGAGACTAGTCGAACATGGCTCTCTCCAGAGGCTTGAGATGTTGTCAAAGGGTTTTCTCCTGGATACCTGTCCTTATAATAGCCGCAGTGATGTTGTGGTCATACTACGCCTACGTATTTGAGCTATGTCTTTGTAAGTATGACAGTCCGTTTGTTGTGTTTCTTAGTATTTCATTGTGTACATCGCAGATTGTCGCACAGCAGTGTTGACAAAATTAAAAGCCAGAGCAGGAGCTAGCAAAATAGGCGGAAGTGGTTTACGGTGTGTGCCTTAAGGTTATATGTAGCTATAAAACATAACGTGAATACTTAATTTAATTTCTTATTTCTTATTGCCACCAAGAGGTTAGTGTTAAAACTGGCTGTTGCTGCGTCTCCTAGCTGCCTGTCAGTCGGGCTAGTCGAGTTAGCCGGTAAATCCTGTTCCTATTTTGAATTGTAAACTATTAGGGGCAATGTCAGGCAAAATTGTTGCTAATCTCTGGCACCCAGCTTCTGTTTTCTCATGCCATGTTCTTGTTTTTACAGTTACACTAACCAACACACTGGAGAAAGGTGAGTTACGTACACATGTTTGTGCTACAATCAATGTGCGCTGCTATAAAATACATTACGTTTATTGTATTGTTTTGTACATTGTTGTGACTTGTTTGTGTTTGCAGTGGCCTATCTACTGGTATTTCATGTTTGCTTTGTGATGTTCTCCTGGACCTACTGGAAGTCCATTTTTACCCCTCCTGCCTCACCATGCAAAAAGGTATCCTGACCAGTTAAAGCTGCCAGGATGAACATCCAGCTAGGATTTATTTGACCATTTATCAAGTCTGTAATATAAATGTGATAATGATGCATGTTTGTGGCTTTAGTTTCAGCTGTCATACTCGGACAAGCAAAGATACGAATTTGAAGAGAGACCAGATGCTCAGAAACAAATCCTGGTTGAGATTGCAAAGAAACTGCCCATCTTCAGTCGAGCTCATTCTGGAGGTAACTTGTGCTTTCATTTAATTCACATTTTTTCTTCTGCAGTAATATAATTTCATATGATATTAACCCCTTCTGTGCCGTATGTCAAAACAGGATTCACAAGGCAGGTATTTTAGGCACAGTCAGCTCGCACATAATCTTGTGTGCGTTGAAAATAAGTAGTCTAGGGAAATTAGGCCCCATCCAAAGTAATCAGCCAATGCATCTCTTTCATTAGTGCTGATTGCTAAGACTAAGTTGTAGACTACAGGAAGCAAGTGAAGGGTACGCTCAGCTCAAATGTCCTTCATTCAACTGGCCATCCTGTTGTCTCTAGCTATCAGGTTCTGCGACCGCTGCCAGGTTCTGAAGCCTGACCGCTGTCACCACTGCTCGGTTTGTGAAACGTAAGTCACTCTTTCCTCCTCAATTCATTCAACTAGAGAGATTACAAGAGGCAAGATTATATTTGTTGGCCGTGGACTGTGGTGGTAATTAGAAGGTGTTGCTTTGTTGGCACACAATCTCTCAGAGAAAATATCCTGATGATCAATTACTGTAGATCAAATGCTTACCAAAAGGCATCAGTAAAACAACAGAAAACTGGTAAAGAAGGTTGCATCAAAAGTATGATCTTTATGATTTCGGAAATTGTATTTAAGGTACTAATTGCTTAAGCTGCAATGCTGTCAAAATGATATGCATTAAAACAATATTTTTCTTTCAAAGATGTGTATTGAAGATGGACCATCACTGTCCCTGGTAAGTAACTTTTGCCTGTATTTCCCTATTTTTGAGGAATGTATGTAGCATTGTTTGCTCTGACAGCATCATTTATTTTTATTTTAGGGTGAACAACTGTGTGGGCTTTGCCAACTACAAGTTTTTCCTGCTTTTCCTGGCCTACTCCATGGTGTATTGTGTATTCATTGCAGCTACAGTCTTTCAGTATTTCCTTAAATTCTGGGTGGTGAGTGTCATAAATCTAAATTATCACTGGTGATCATAATGGAGTCATATTACATATTTGTGTTGCACACAGTCAGCACTACTGCAATTCCACAAGAACAGATAACCAAGTGTATTGAGTCAAACTTTTTTAAGCCCATTTTCTCAAGTTTCTCGTTCTCCTGTTTCTCTCTTCCAGGGGGACTTGCCAAATGGACCTGCAAAGTTCCATGTCCTCTTCCTCATGTTTGTGGCGCTCATGTTCTTCGTCAGTCTCATGTTCCTCTTTGGCTACCACTGTTGGTTGGTCTCCAAGAACCGATCCACTTTAGGTGAGGATTAACATATTTATTGGAGAATGGAACCCCTTTAGATCCTTCTCATGAAGCTGCTCTCACCATCTCATAAATGTAGGAGCTTTGTTAAAATAGATATTTGGATAATGGAGAATTTAAACCACTTTCTGATTCTTTTTCCTTTTCTTAGAGGCTTTCACAGCTCCAGTTTTTGTCAGTGGACCAGACAGAAATGGCTTTAATGTTGGCATACGTAGAAACCTGCAGCAAGTGTTTGGAGAGGATCGAAGGCTGTGGTTCATCCCGGTTTTCACTGGGTGAGTTTGTTGGCATGAGGAAACAAGTTAGGATGCATAATTAGTTTACTTAAGACGCTTTTCTATAAATGTTTTGAATTTGGGCTATGAAAGAAATGTGCAGTAAAATAAAATATAGTTATAGCGAACAATAATATCAAACAACATACAGGTAACTTTAGTTGAAATAATCAATTATATATTTGGATAGTTTATAGGAGGGATAATATGAATTAGTTGTAAAAACCACTTGGGATTCTGTGGAGAGTCAGTCCGCAGAATCAAAGTTGTTTTTACATGTAGCAGCATTTAATTTTCTTACATTTTCTATGAAGGATTGGATCAGTTAATGGAGTGATGGCCACGGCTCCTAACTAACTTCTCTTTTCTTTTGCACACTGTAAACGTCAGCCAAGGGAACGGCCACTACTTCCCCTTGAAGAATCGGAGTTCTGAGTCCCACAACCCCTTATTAGCTAATGAGGACCTGTGGGAGGAGTCTGATGATGGCTCTGAGGGAAGCCTGGGTGAGTCACTTTAACTTTGTCATATCATATTTCCACATTATCTTTCCAATTCCCAGAATACAAACTGCATTTTAAAATCCTAAAATTGATATCAGTCACTTTTTGCATTCATTGCGTGTACCGATGTTTTATATAATTTTAGTGTGTCAAGCTTTAGTAAATGTGCAAATATAACAAGTTATGCATCAAAAATGGTTTTCAAATGTTTCTACATAAGTCTAAATAGTTAGTCCCTGTAATGGCCAAAACTCAGATTTCCAGTCACAGTAATGGGCACACGACTAAAAACTAAGTATTTCTGTATAAAGTCACCTTCCAGTACCTACCATAAATGGTAAATAACACACACTTTGTCACCTTGGAGATGTGATTGTTAAACAAACCAGAAACAAATATGTTTGTGCTCAAACTTGGAGGCCCAAATATTCCCCTGCACAGCAGTTTGCATTCCAACCAAACTGTTCTGCCCCACCTGGTGGTCACAGGCCATGTTGACTAGTGTATCCACGCTGAAATCTCTTCTTTTTTCTTCTTCTTTCATTCTAGTTGAGGACCATGACCCTTCTGTTACCATAGAGATGGAGGAATAGTAATGTAAAGTAAGGACAAAATACACTGGTACAGAGGACGTAGATTCATATCACACACACTGTGGCAAACGCATTCCATATCATGTGGACCTTCAGACACTGAAAAAATCCTGAAGGAGGCCAAACGTGTGGATTAAAAGCTGCATTTGCATTGTTATTGCCACTTGTCCCCATGTGTTTTACATATTGATGAACAGAGGAACTCAATGGACAACCAGTAGTTTCACCTCTCCTCTCAGCAGTACAGCAGGATCAGTTTGGTTCAGACCAAAACTTGTCAAATATTACCTTGTATACAAAAAGACGGCTGTATTTATTACCATGGGTCGTATATATATATATATATATATTTCCCTCTGGTTGTTCATCACAAAGCAATGGCCTCTGTGGGATTATAAATAAGTGTTAATTGGGGAGCTTCTGTACTGCTTTACATGCCTGTGTTATTGTTGGGTCGTGGGTTTACAGTGTCTGTGCTGGGTGGGTGGGGGGCTCTAACTTAACACCTATGATGCTGCAGAGGTCTCTTGTAGTGATTCAGTTGTCTGGCCTCTACCAGTTTGAGCTTTGCAGAATATTAACATGATATCTTACTTTTTTTTTTATGCAAATAAGAGTATTATATTACCTGACTTAACCTCCGCCTTATTAATATATTCATTTTTGTGTTTTTCGGACTCCTTTTCTTCTAAGAATGTATTCAGCTCCCTGCTTGTGAATAGACTGTGCCAACGTTTCAGGCACCTATTTACGAGAAAACTCATATTGTGCTTAAGTAGAGAATCTCAGCATTAATATTATTTGATAAATATGCCATTATTGATGTCTGATCAGACTGGTAAGGGTATTAAAAACTAAACTACCGTATATTTGAAGTGTTAATTCACTGTTACAGCTCAATATGTATTATGGCAAACGTAATATGTTCAAAATTCTAAAGTGTATCGTGTATCATTGCTTACATTATGTTGGATACATTGCTCTAAAGAAATCGAGTGATGGGTTTGAGTCCAATGCCGGGGATGAGCATACAAAACAAACTGTGATAGACTTTTTATTTAAAAACAATCACAATCTTTCTACCATACCAGCCTTCCCTAGTGCAGTAACACTTCTGTGTGGAAGTTATAGGAAAGTGAAATTAACTTTCATCATGGGTACAACATAATTTATAGGTTCTATGTCTGCTTGGACTTTTGATCTCTTGAAACATGCAGATAAGTGTACATATATATATAACGACTGGTCCTCATCCACTGGTTGGTAGAGGAACGCGATCTTCTGCAATGTGATGTTCCAAATGGTTTTCTACATGCGTTAATGTATTTTGAAATTTTAATAGTAATGGAACAGATCCTCCTGGTGGAAACTGTTGGTTTATGGTATTTATTGTGTATTTATATTTAGCCAGCAAACTTAGTTAAAAAAACTTCTGTTAGTGAGTACGTCCGTTTTAGTACAATTCAAAAGTTTGGCCTTTATCAAACCTTGATACTGTTTGATCTTGACACTTTAACTTGCTTCATCATATCTGTTTTACTACTATGTTGGGAAAGCCAAATAAAATGCTGCTCATATCTGAGAAATTCACAATATAACATACATTATATGAGGTACAACTCATTGTCTGAAAGCATGTATAAACTCTAGGAAAGATGTGGATGTTGAGTGTTTCATGTCGTCTCGTGTCTATTTATTGTTATAATCTTCGGTTTTTCTTCCTGTGTATTGAGTTTACTGATTCATTACTGCTGCAGGCAGTGTCTGTATATTTTGCTCCATCAAGTGACTCTTCAAATAAACTATTGAAGCAATTTGCTTTTATCAAATAGGATACGTGGCATTTATAAGATGACAAATGATACGCAGTTTGCAGACAGAGTTCAATACTGCTAGAGCAGATGCAGTGTGGTCCCTTTATTTTTTATTTTGTATAGTATGTGATTGTGGCACTTCCTTATTTCAACACCTCTAAACCATTGAAAGTACTGAAACTGTTTCATTTGTCTTTTAACAAATATAAATTCTTTATTTTGCATCGGTTGTTGTAACATGCAAAATAAAATGATCCAAGCTGAACTCTTTATACAGTTCACTGATGTTCTCTTTCTTTAGCATGAGGATACACAGCAAGAAATAAATACAATCGCTCAGATTGATCATTTTGTATCAGTTTAGGAACTTTGGAGATAGAGCAGCATTATTTGGCACAACAAGGAGAACATGAGAAACATTTAAATAAACAAGACAAAATATACTCAAAACTATTTGTAGGTCATGTTCCTCATGTTGTCTCCGGTTCAGTCAGTGCCAAAGTACCTCTGGCCAAAATGTGTCGGAGCCACCGGGTGGACCTCCGTGGTCAAGATGGTGATATCAGGGAACTCCTGGATTATAGATTTGGCTCCTAAGAAAAAAAAGTCAAATGTATTACATTAATACAAGACAAACCTGAGAAACTAACAGCAAAGGTCAAACTTATAATCTTTTTGTTTTTTAAGGTTTTATGGGCCAGAGTAGCTTTTATTTTAGAGTGACGGTGTTGAAAGGGGGAGACGGAGGGGAGGACAAGCATACATGCATTTACCATTTATTTGTAGCCAGAGGACTAATCCTGACTTTTGTGATTTCCTCAAATGCTGCACAGCATTGCCAAATGTATTTAAATTGATATTAAAATGCTGTAAATGTCATAACGAACAAAGAGAATTGCCAAAAAACATTTTACCCTGAGCCACAGCTAGCAGTATGGTTCACACAACAGGTCTCTCATAAAACAAAAAAAGGTTGCCTATTTTTCAGCAGCTCCTAAACATTGAATAAGACTCCCAAAAGCACATTTGCAGTTAGTCTGAAAACATATTCGACTAGGGAATCATATCTATTTGAGTATAAAAATAAATAATTCTAAAGGTCATTGCGCCAATTCCTTGGGCATGCTACATTACCCTCTCAGTATATTAACAGTAGGATTGGCTAATATGTTATGTTAACATGCACTTCTTTCTTTGTGTGTATATTTTGGCCTTATGTAGAACCAAAGCTCACAAGGGTTAAACATAACAAAATGTCCTGAAAACGACAAATATCCACATTACTGTAAATGCCATTATAATCAGGCAAGTAGTAATTTGGGAGAACTACCGCTAGACCTATTTGTGGTCTAATTTAAAAAAGATCTGCTGCTCTGCTCACTCATACGGCTGCGTCAGATCAGCAGTGCCACCAAACTGCATTGTGGTTACCAGCAGTATAATGATGCAGCAGGAGAGAAGGATGGAGGAAAAACTGTGTGATCTGGTGGGTAAACAAAAGTAAATTGGTGGTAAGCTGCAGTTGCAGTGAACTGGCAGTGGTAGCATACCGTGAGGCGTGGAGAAAAGGCTGAGGAGGATAATATGTCTGGGCTGGACTCCGTGCTCGATCAGCACTCTCACCGCCTCGATCACAGTGTTGCCGGTACCTGCAGACACAGAAAATGTAGGGTTTAACGGCGGCGGATATTCAAATGTTTACAATGTCATTTTAGTTTCAGAAACAATGTGTAAATTGAAGCTAACACAATGTAATGTTATTGCTATTTTTGTGTGCACTTGTTATTTTATAATCACCAGCAGGGGAGGGGTTTTGTCCTGTATTTTGAAATTGACAAATATAAAAATAACTTGGTATTAAATACAAAAGACTCTCTTAAATTGAAACATGCTCGATCAATCAACTGTACATTGTATCTGTATCATAATGCCACATGATAACATAAAAAGAAGGACATGAACAAAACTAGGGGGCTTCTCCCAAGTACAGCACTTGTACATACAATGAATAAACACAATTAAAAACGTCAAAATATACAGTAAACAATGTTTCCTTGTGTAAGGGTTAGAATCTGGCTGTTGGCAAGTAACTGCTGCATTATGTTAGCATCTCCTCTCTAGGTACTGAGTCTGAGCACTATGCAGCATTTCATTCCTGACCCTGTTATCTGCATCAGTGTAACCATATGTTCTGACATAATAAAACATACATTCAACCTGGATTAGTGGCCATCATTTTAGCATAAAAATGCTGCTTTCTGACATTGGGAAACCAGGGCTATTAAGATCCTATTTTTGTTGGCTCATTATGCTATTCAGCAGCTTGGTGGCTATCTCCCGGGCAGTGTATAATTTCCCCCGTAAGAGCTATAATTATCAGAACAGTGTGAATGGGCTGGTATGATGTGGAAATGCAGAGACTTGCCGGTGAAGGTCAACTCAAGGGAGATTTCTCAAAATGAATAAATACATGAAACCGTTTTTACATTTGCACAAAAATGGACATCTCTTGACATTTATGTGCTGCTGAGGGCGGTTAACGGGAGTCATCATCAGTGAGATTAACTGCGCTCAGCCCTGTGTTACTTACTAAGGATAGGGTACATGAGCAGCACTTTTCTTCTGTACACATCAGGGGGGAACTTGGCATAGAAGACCTTGGCTTTCTGTGTCTCCTCATCACTCTGGATGAGGATCTTGCCAATGCGGATGGAGCGGCAGCAGTCCCGGAGACCCTGCTCCATGGCCTCACCTGTGGGGAGACACATAATGCATCTTGCTCAGAGGATGTTGTTCATTTTGATGAATTTATTGATTTAGAGCCAGTGGGCCAGCATTCATTTCACAATATGTGATGTGTATAACCCAAGTCCAACTCAATTTTGAAGGCCCTCTTTTCATAATACTGTATGAAATCACAATACTTACAGTAGTGCAGATTTCACTCCGTTCATCTCGGCTCTGCAAGTGCGATTGTCAAGTAGGCAAAATGAACAACACTGATGAAAATCAAAAATGTGTCTAAATTGTGTATGTCTCACAAACTACACTGTGTGCTTATGTCTCTACAAAAATGCACCTTTAAAACATTATTTACATCAATGCGTGCTGCCTATAAAGAACAAAAAAGTACAGTAGCCGTAAGTTCCTATTTTTCTGGAATAATGTTAAAAAAAAAAATAGGACATCCTGTATTCTGATACGTAATTAAGTATGAATGTTGACGTGTCAAGATGCCAGCGCTGTGTAGACTAGATAGAAAACAATAGGTGCATGTGTTTCGATCTGCGTCATACACTGCTAATGTGTGTTGCCTGAAAGATTTAACTAAAATAATTGTCCAACCCTTATATTTTATATATTTCTGCCCTAGAATTACTTTCATAAAAGGATAATATAGGTTTGGCTTTTGACAGTCTCATTAAATCTGAGAGAGAGAGGAAGTGAGTCGGTGACAGTGATTCCTTCAGAGAACATGTTCTGCAAAGTACAGCATGGACCTGTAATATTATTCTATTGTATTAAAATGATCAATCAGTTTCATGTTGAGAAAATAACTTATACAAATCAAATGATCCTGAGCACACACTTCCCATGACCGGATGAATACGTGCAGGACTGGATATACAGCAAGTCGGCACAAATCACATATGCATGGAAGACATGATAAATGCCCCTACAAAGGAGGGGCTGTAATTTTGGTGGGTGTGATACGACAGGTGTAACTTACCACTCCTCATTATGCTGACTCCACAGTTGCCTCTTTCAAACTTGACACCTTCATACTTGTACCCTGAGGGGGAAAATGAAGTGGGAACATTCACAAATGTAGCCGATCTGAATAAGCCTGGTAGTCACACAGGCTAGAGGTAAAACACAGGAAGTGAGCCAACTTATTTTTTGAATTGTTATAATTATAATTGGTGAGCTTTTACATGGATTAATAGAAGTGTCGGAGCTCAGATTCTGTGTCTGAACTTGAAACCTAGACGTTAACTTTGTTATGAGAGAAAGAGACCCTCACCTGTTGGCGTGGTCACAGTGCACTCCGAGTAGGGGAGCTGATTCAAACCCTCTTCAACTACTAGTCTGATCTGTTATTTGAAGAAGAAAAAGCTCAGAGCTTGCAGCTTATACACATTAAATATGGTGTATTAAGTCCCAAGCTTACCAGTCGATCAGCACAAAACACAAAGTCTCCTCTGCTGGTTGTCCTGAAAATGTAAATATAAATACTTAGTTACAAACTAAGTACTCAATGTAGTTTTTTTACTATAAATGCATCAAACCTACTTTATCCCTCCTCTTATGATACATACATGTATGCATTTGTACTGATCCTATCTCACTGAGCTCGTCCAAAATAAATACTTAACCTCACTGTGTGGAAGTTATTGGGATCATTTTTCCACCCTGTCTTGAGGTTTATTCATAATATAATACATTAACAAGAACATCCATAACATTCACCTGTTTGCAACTTACAAATTATGTATCACTTGTATATAGACTCTTATGGCACTACTGTTATTCTATTTTTTTTATTGTTCAGTTTTATTGTGTTGCACTGTTGGTGGAGCCTGTGACCTAAGATTTTCATCGACATAACAATGTAGTTATGTACGAATGACAATAAAAGCCTTGAACCTTGATTTATCTATTTTTTCCAAAAATCATCCTATCATAGTTGGTGTTGATGTGTTAATGGAAGTTTGATTCAGCTGCACTTTTTATGACTTATATGTGCATGCTACAAATATTGATCCTTTTTTAAACGCAATGTGTATCATTATTATTGTGTGAGTTTATTTTGCAACTTATGTCACTTATATTTTTCAAATCCAATTTCCAATCTTATT